AGGTAGGGTATGAAATATGCGCGAACACAGCTTTGAGAAAACGAATTTGAAAATATTCTCAATTTCAAGAAATAACAAGAGTTATAATCACTATAGCATATTGTTTTGGGGCAATTACGATAAAAGAAAACAATAATTTTACATTATAATATGTTTCAAACTAACGCTAGTCTGACTATTATACACGTTAAGAAGATAATGTTTAAGTTGGGAATGTCGATAAATAGTCCACCAGCAGTCAGTTTATTCATCGGATAATTACCACTCTCTAAGATGCTCACAGAACCAGAGCATCATCGGGAAGTCGCAGTCTTGGATTTAAACAACTCAAAATAGATCTATAGCTAAAAATAAATATATTAATCTAAATAAATAATAAACAATGATGTCATGATACTCGCTGTTATTTATTTTTGTTCGTGCTTTATAATCAATATAATTATATATATTGCTCAGGTGATCGGTAGTCACGGCGCTTTATCACAATCTTTTTCGCGATGTCAAATCATGGGTAAAAACAAAATACACAAAATATAATTGATAAGGTCTGTTTCACATTACTGCACAGAGCCTCAGACCAGCATCAAAAATTATCTGCGGCATAAAAGCTAATAAAAATCCAATATCCCACGAAACCCGTCTTTTGCCTTTTCAACAAGGTCGAGTTTTTTGTACAATCAAGACCTTACACAAGACTCTGCTGATATTAACTTTATATGTGGGATCATTGAACAAAAACTCTGACAAACAGAGGTTCTTTTACTGGAGGCCTCCTAACAATTTTGATGAAGCTCAAAAATAATCACGTTATACCTTTGATGGATAGAACCTTCATACACTTATGCGAAAGCAAATCCTTATGGTGAGTGTTCTGAGTGTAAATGTTGTTAGATGCAAAAAGGCCGGTATATATGTTGCAAAACAAAGTAGTGCCTAGACTTTAGTAGCTGTTTGCTGAGAGTCTTGAGACACAAAATATACTGCAAATAAAAGAAACCAAAGGTAATGGTGCGGAAATTTCCCGCGCCATAAAAAGCATTGTTGTTTGATTTATACGTCATATATTTATGATTTCTTGACACCTTGCATTTTGAGTTGAACAATTAACATTCTAATTAATTGTGGGTTTCCTTGCTGTCTCTTTAATTTTCCAAATGTAATCTACCCAGTCATCAAATAAATTTCGTAATATAACCAGTTTGTGACGTCATATGCGCGCGCGCTCGCGTCGTAAAACAAGATGGGCGTTGTCCAGAAGTTAATTAGTTGAATTGAACAAATTAAATAATGGAACACCGAACTTCCGATCGCCGGCTACAGTATCTCAATTATTTTATAACTAAAGACAAATTGTAATAAGAAATTGAAACCTAATCGAGTTGGGATCCCATCAGGATTATTATTGCTCCAAACCGAAACATCCATTCAATGTTTTAGTCCACAATTTAGAAAGCGTTTTTTTTTTTTGAGTCCCCACGTCGGACATAGTTTTCTATACCCAACAAAAGTCACTTTTCGTTTTTTTTTTTTCTATAAAAAAATACTCAAAGCAAGTCCACGTACACTCATATAAAAATATAAAAGATTGATCTCTGAGCGAAATAACGTGATGCCACTATAAAGTGCCAAGAGCCCCTAACGCTGTAGTCAATATACTTGTTAGTAGATTTATTTCAGTTTTGGGGCAAATTTTCAAAAGTACAAAAGTACAGAGTCAATTAATTAAATTGTCGCCAATTTACTCAGCCGAATCGAGCAAATCTTGTGACACGTTGACGGGAAATTAAAAACCAGTTCTGATATTACTAATACAAGGAAATATCCCGTGAAACTTGCTTCCAGTTTGAGTTATCAAGGATATTGAAAAGTTGTTGAGTGGATTATCTACTTTGCGCGTGGATGATTCAGCCGGAAAGCGTTGTCCCGTTGCAGATGTTTGTAAGTAGACAACCTAATTTGGGAATATTATTCTCTTATTTTAAATCCTATTGGACGGATTAGATTATTAACTTGGAGGAGTAGAACATCAACGTGAATGTGAATTGAATACCTATACTTCATGGAAATGTTTATGTTCCAACCCTCGTTGGGATTTTAAGAGAAAAATAAATAAATATGAAGTAATTACCAATTGCATATAACTTGAATAAACTTGACATGAACCATCTCCACAATATCTTATTTTCTTGGCGATACTGAACTTATTTCAATTCAAACTTTTCAAGATTCAAAATCGTGAAACAAAATGAGTGCACAAAATCAAGCACACCAGTCTAATTACGTCGGTATTTACATGATTTGAAGCGCATATTAATTTGTGTGGATGGAAAAATAAGAATTATACATCACCCTCATATGTTGTTGATTTATTCATACCTCACAATCTGCGCTTACTAGCAGTTAGGTTTTTATATGTCATTTATGTGTAAATTTTAATATTGTTATTACCGAGTTGTTTGATTATTCATTTTGTTTATTGCCATGTAAAGTTGTAAACAACTGCAATGTTGACATGAGTGTGCTATCGCACTGAAACTGTTCGAAACATGTTGATGCAACAGAGAAAAATCACTATATATTCATTAAAATTGCCCTCTGTTTGTTGCTACATTAGTTATTAAATTGATTTTTTATCGACTAGGGGTAATAATTCAATGACACGATGATTGTTAAATTTGAAGCATCAAAGATGCAGACCGATGCATTTCACACAACCAATGTTAATAAAATGAACATTTCAACGATCGGACAATCTCAGCTATCGGCCATGTCTTAGTCAGGTCGGGTTAATTTTTTTAAAATGAACTAGCCTAAAATTCTAATTTTCGTGTATTACGGTAGCGGTAACATTTCACTTCGTAAGTATGCGGTTTTCTGTCTCAAAACACTTGGCACGTAGATGACTAAAATGTAACGCAATGGTGAAGTTCATGAAGGGTGAATTATGGTGAAGCTCAGAATACCTGATGTGATAATTATTATTAATTAATTAAGACGTAATGAACGTTGCCATGCCTTCCGTTTTGCTGAAAGCTTTCAGTCTGGATTACTGAGTTTAACGTGATTCGTCTTCAAATTTTAATCACACAACGAATACTACATACAGAGTAGATTATACCCACCCGCCATACCTCAAATCTGAGTTTCTTACTCTTTTCTACTCTACAAAACTCTAACCCTAACATGGGCAAACCACGGCCCGTTGAGTAATTCAATTTGGCCTACCTGATGCCGCCACAACCAAACTAAATCCAAATTTTGATGTTTCAGTTAATAAATAGCTCAAGGAAATTGTTGAGATTGCGATTAAATTTAGTTTTGGCACGAGGCTTATTGTTTTCCACTTTTGTTACACTTTAAATATTGTTCATATAATGTAACTTTTTACGTCACACATACATGGCCCGCCAGTCTAGGTCAGGGGTCACCAAACTTTTTTGACCGCGGGCCGGGTATGACTCAAACTGGGTTGAAACGGGCCGGATGAATATTTTTGTCAATGCAATAAAATAAGTTCACATAAGTTGGGAAATTCATCCAATTTATTTAACAATATATACTCTACATTTCTGAAGACTTGAATATTTAATTCTATCTATATCGCAGAATATAGATCAAAAACATTCTGGGAAAACAAATATACAAGATTTCTATATCTAGACAGCTATCCTGAGTTTAGCTGTTATCAAAACGTTGCTGTCATGAATTAGGAATGTTACAAAATCGTCTATTTCGCGCCAAAATAATGTACGCTTCACGTCTGCTAAGTACTGTTATGCCGTGTTGGAATACTGCTACTGCTAAAAACGACTACGGATTGCCTGCTGTACCTTGGAATTCCATGAAATTTTGACATAATTTAGATAAAATAAACAACATATCTGGTATTTGATTTTTTTCATTAGCGCATACATTTCTCAGCTTTTGGCGCTTTTAAAAATTCCGCCTCCCCTTTTTATACGTAGTGCAAATTAAACTATCATGCACAACTCCAGCGTTTATTTGCGACGATCTTTCGGCGGTGTCAATGACCGTTGCCAGAATAAAATCCCGAAATAATCTCAATATTAGTGATTGACATGTGTTATTTTTTTCATATTTATTACAGTTCTTATCAAAAAAGTAATACAATCCTTATGAAAATAATTGCCCTGTCGGGCGGTACTAAAATTCCGATATCTCGGTTATTTCTTGACCGTTTTTTATAAACTTGGCACTGTTTTCTATTTTCACTCAGATCTATCCGCTGGCGCAGTTTTTATTTAAATCGGATGAACTTTAATTGTTTTTGTAACATACTACATGAATATCCGCATTTGAGCAGTACAAAAGTTAGTGTAACTTATGAAATTGGAGCAGTACGCGAGAGATTATAGTATTGTTAGCGCAAAATGCACATTCAACATTTATTTTAGCACAAGAAGCGTTAACAGTTTCATCGAAAGCACGCGCCACGAGTGTACAAGTGCATCTTTCGCAGAAAACGTTGCGTACCGGTAGAGAATTTTAGCCTATTTTTTCACAGCTATTTCTAGACTAATTTTTTATTACTACTATTAAAACTACAACTCATAAGGATGCAAATGATAGTTGACTTATTTGATTCATACTTAAATTTCCGAAACACAATCAAAAACTAACGAATAGCATTCAAAGTCGCAAAAACGAAGTATTGTTTACAACCACGACTGGAAATCTGTCAGGATGACAAAAGTTATCTGAGCTGAGAGGCTTTTTATTACGTCACGTTTTTTTGCATCTTGCTGATTGGTCAATGTTACGAAATAAACAAGGAAGACCATGCTCGGGGAAAATCTTCCTTGGAAAAACATTTAGCCATTTTTGCGTGTTATTGCGGGCCGGATAAAATGACGCCGCGGGCCGTAGTTTGGTGACCCCTGGTCTAGGTGAACAAAATTTTTGGCCCCTGGTCCTAAAACCACGCCCATCCCTGCGTAACCCTCTACCACGATCGTAATAAAACTAAACTTCACGAGTAATTTTTGCAAACATCGTACAAGTTTATTTGCACGTTCAAAAAATCATATATAGATAAAAATTGTCAACGCGAAAAAACGCATGTTGTAAAGAAAAATATAATAGTCAAGTAAACATCGAGTTGTAGTACATGAAAAATTGTCAAAAGGAAAGCAAACAGACTCTTCGCGAATTCCAGAAATTTAACCCTCAGTCAGAACTAGCCAAACTGAACGAAAGAAAGATTTCTGAGCGCAATAGGGTTAATGTAATCAATTGGTCATATTTGAACATTTAGGGCCATCACTAATTAGGTATGTGTGTAATTTAGCCACGGCCTTGTTTGATCAAACATAACCATCTGATGCCACACAAATATACATGAAAAAACACCAAAATGAACTTTGAAATATATATAAATTCATTGTATTTTCTATTTTTTTTGTATTGTATAACTTGAAGCCTTTTTGCAATAAAATTGAATCGGTATATATATATAATTATGAAAACAATTTCAGAATGAGGCCAAAAGGACTCAAACTGGTTCATTGACCAATATAATAGGTGCACACAAATATTAAATATATATCGAGAAAAGTCAAAGCAAATTCTATATTTTTGTATAAAAGAGGAAAAAGAAAAGAGATAGAAACAATACAGCCGCCTTTTACAACACAAAGAATGTTATAAAGCGGAAGAATGGAATGTATTCGGAAAGAAAATACGCCTGTGAGAAGCGCAAATAAAATTACCCGTACATTGCAAAAGTATAAGAAGTGATTGAGCTTGATACTGATCCCTCCTTTAACTTCTGCAACGTACGAAGAGGTAAAAGCATATAAAGATCAATAAGAGCAATTAGTTTTATAGAATTTGCATTGAATTCGACACATTTTAAAACCCCATAATTCTGATTTTTTTTTTTACTTTTGCTTAGGCGGTTGAGTATAGAGGTAATCCGTATATAAATGCGTCACGTGATCGTCATGGACGATTGAAGTCCGCGCCGAACGTACGATGCAATACATCAGCGAAACGATGGACGGAATGAAATAAATACGATCGGAAAACGACGAAAAATTATATTGCGAAAAAGCACCACACCTAAAATTATGACGTCATACAAAAACACCTATTTTCAAATTAACACGACACCTAGTGTAAACGCACGAACGTGGAACGGACCACTGAATTTAGATCTAAATATATGAGATTAAATTTTGAGCGCTTCGATAAAAATAAAATGCGAAAAATAAAAAAACAAAAAACGAACGAACGAACACATTAGGTAGCAGTTTAGCAGTAAAAATTGTTTTCGTATCGGGGAAGCGAGACGCAGAAAAAAAACATATCATTTCAAATGCCTATGCTTAAGTACGGTAAGGAAGTTTAAAATCACCGAATATTCACAGCTAAGATTTAATGTAAGCACGAATCCTAAATTTGATGTGTAATCCACTAAGAGTCATCTTCCCACGCGCTATATTATGATGAAGCAAATTTGGATTAATCGCTGCTAATTAACTGAATTAAGGAGTTTCGCGTTTGTACTTAAGTTTTAATTAATAAGACCTCTCTCTGTCTTGGTGAGACAAATTCGATTTGCATAATGGCGCGCGCACATGATTGGCATTGCAAAACGAAGTCATGGGAAATTGACACGCGAACGGCCGAAGTAATATCTGATCGATTTTTTTTATTTTCGAAAGCAAATCATGATAAATTTTTTAGTAGAATTTAACCAATATCAGGGTTTTTGATGGAAATTCATTCATGTGAAAATTCGGATATCAAAGTCGCTTAGTACGCTTCTGACTAATAGAGACAACAATACTAAGGAAGCATATGCGCAATTTAGCGATACGTAATTGACGATAATGTTCAATAATTTCGCTTTCGCGCTCACAAATCTATCTACAACCTGTCAAAAGCGTCAAAAATTGTCAGATATCACGATTTTGGGGTCATATGAAACTTTTATTGGATCGGGTTGCGACTCGCTAATAATAAGGAAATGGAAAAACGAAAACAAAATCACTATCTAATGAAACTGCTTGGAAATTTCAGGCACACATAACATGCACATATAGGCTCACATACAACACATGGAATGGAGGACGCACATAAATAGTTTGGCAATCGCAAGTATGTCGAAAGCCAAAAAATAAACAAAGACCGTCCTACAACGAACAAACAAAACTAATAAACAAAAAGATGAATAATAACAACAGTAAGAGTAAAAAAGAAATATCAAAAAATCTCAGTGGGCTTTACAGCATTCCAACAGCGAGAAAATGGACCAATTTTGATATAGTTGATATAGTATTTTGCCGCAAGAAAATTCGTTTAATAAGATTAATTGAATTGAAAAAAAAGTATAAATTCGCGTCGACAAAATGATAAAATATAATTTGAATAACAATAACTACAATAAGATATAGAATTTGAATATGGGGCTTTAGGCCAAAAGCGATGTGAAGCAGCAACGCACGATAAAAGATATATTCTACACTTACAGCTTACAAGAACATAGATGGTCATTTCTAGATGGAATGCCATCCCTAAATAAATAGACTTGCAAAACAAAATCTAAAATAAATTTTTAAATCTTTGCATTTGCTTTCTACACAGCTCTTCTATTGTACAATCTAATTGTTCTTTAGCCTTAGATACCTTGTTTTGGTGCGAGTTTCCTTTCGCGTAGTGCAGAGCAGCGAACGAAATCCGTTTTTATCGGGAATACTGCAAGTTATATCCATTTTATGATCCTAATATTTTATTTGTGCTTCAATCGGTTGAAAAGTCCGTGTTTGCTTCTTTCACCAGCCCAAGTTTTGCTCTTGATTCTAAACTTTCGGAGTTCGTTAGCATAGTCTTCGTGAGCCATGGGAACGTAACTGCGTGGTTCACAATGGTCCTGAAATATTAAAAACGAAATTTTACTTTTTAAATATAGTTGGCTTTGAATTAATATAATCAAAAATTTTCAGTAGAGACGCAGAGTGCAATTAAAATAGGGATGGTTTTAAAGTCACAGTCCCCATTTATATGGTTTCCTCCGTATAGATATATTAAGATCCCATATTGAAAGTGGGGTTGATGTTTACGGAAGGTACATAGGTAATTTTCAGTAAATTCACCTTCATATCCTTGTAAAATTCCTTTGTATCCATCTTTAAGAACGTAAACCTCGGGATAGTATAAGTTTGGATAGACATTTTGGTCCCGGTCGTGACTTCTTAAAAATCGCGCAAGTTTGGGTCCTCGCTCGGAACTAAATTCACAGTGAAAAATAAGAATGTGAGGCTTTGCTGTTCCAGCTTGAGCCTGTTGCTGTTTCGATGTTGCCCACATAGGTTTTGCACAGTTGAAATATCTGAAAATATAATTATAAATATAAGTTAAAAAATAATAAATTAAAACAAAGCGAATCAAGACAATTTAAGTCGAAGTATATTTTTTTTTATCAAGTTTACACACCTTTCTATCAGTTGTTCTTCGGTCCAGACGTTCACAGCACCATTTACATGACCTCCTTCGTATTCGTATGTGTATCTGCAGTCGACAACTTCAACCATACCGACGTTATGCTTTTCTTTCAACACATCAACGAGCTGTTTTGTAAAAAAAAAAAGGGAGAAATATAAATTTTGGAAATTCACTGAAAAGAATTTAAAATAACATTTCTCTCTCCCAGGATAAATATCAAAAAATCTTAGGTTATTATTGGTTACAAAGATGTAAGGACTTACTGTTTTTGATGTGATGTATTTCAGGTCTTGTTTTCTTCCTGTTACAGTTGGAAGCGAACAAGCGCGGCTAAAGTCTCCAACTAAACTTGCGTCTTCACATCCCTGATCGAACGGCTTTCATAACGTCCAATTCGTTGTAAGATTTCGACCTATTCAAGCACGAATCAGCAATGTCTTTTGGTTCGGTGTCGGCGGCGTCAGAAAGAGATGCAAAAGTGCGAGGTCGCTTGATAGATACTGGAGTCGTTTCACATGAAGGCCCCCCTGTTCTTACAGCACGTTTCAGTTTCATGAGAGCGCGGCGAGATGGTACCAGAGGAGGTGCACTCGGTGATCGAAAGAGTTCTCGTGGTTTTAGCTGTAAATATATAAATAAAGTTAGCTATATTGAAAAGCATTAAATTGTTTAAAATAGACTGAAAATAAAAGCTAACTTACAACTTCTGGATCCATCTTTTTGCATCCTAGAGCGGTGATGGAGTCATTTGCGTCACTGGCTGCGAATGAGGTATCGGAGTTGTTTAGTAGAAGTGGGCCACTGATAAGTCCAGCTAAGCAGGTTGGGGTTGTGGATGTGGATTGGTCAAGATCGTCACCAATACGGAAATCAGATCCTTTTTCTTGCATAATATTTTCACATAACATGTTTTCAATGTCATCTTCTTTGCATGATGAGACGGAAGCAAAATCGTCGCCACTCTGGTTGCCTTTACGCATATCCTCGTCATCACTATCGTGACTGCATAGACTTGAGTGTGAAAGCACGAAATCCTCGTCATTGTCGCCCTGGTAACAAAAATTGGATATTAATTTGAGTTTTATTTTTTCGTTAAGTTGATGTATACAACTGATATTGCAAAATATAACTCACCATAAGCAAAGGTGCGGAGATTGGTCGGCACAAAAAGCTTCTGGATGACACAGGCGATGCTTCAATTGCAAACATGGGGAGAGGTCGTCCAGTCATGATAGCATCAGCAGATTTTGTTTTCCTTTCTTGTAAAAATGCCTTTTTGGCGTTTAGAGATTTACTGCATTTTCGTTTCCTCGCGACAGTGATTACTGATGATGAAGTGGAGTCGTCAAGAAGGCGTTTGATGCCACCAATTTTCATTGGCTGTTTGGGTGACAAACTTGCAACAGGAATGTTATCGTCGATCGTTCCCAACACTCGTCTCTTGGTTTGTGGTTTGACATCCAACGGCGAAACCGGCTTGAAAGCTGACGACTTTCCATGAGAAAAGGCGCTCACTAACGGGGATGACATCATGTTATAAACTCCTTGTCTGGGACGGGTAAAAGTCTTTCCAGTACCAATGGGTGAAAAGCTGGGACTAGCGAGCATTGGATTGGGTACGGCTGTGCGATGACGGGATATTCTTCGGGACGAGGGTGCTTCGTTTTCTTTCTCGAGTTCGTTATTGCCAGATACTTCTTTAACGCCAAGAAGACGAAATCGGCCCTGCTAAAGAGAAACAATCAATTTGACTTCGTATTTTAAATAAAAAATAATCGAAACACATATGCTGTTATATCGTTTATTGTATATGAGCCGATCTTAAATTAATACCTTGGAAGCGGGCATCGACTTGAATCTTCTGAAGCCCGAGTTTTTGTCTTCAATTGGGTGTTCTTGCGACAGACTTCTAACATGTTTTCCATCTCTGAGTGGTTCATTATCTTGTGCAACTGGAGTTGGAGTGTCAGGAAAGCAGCCTACCATGGTGGAAATCGAAGTTGATAAAAAGGGAATACTAACCAGAAAATAAAATTAAAAAACAAACAAACGAGAAACTACAAAAAAAGATTAACCTAAACCTGAGAACCCAGGAAAAACAATGGTTTATATTTGCGATTATTTCAAGACTACTGAATCTAACTTGTCTGAATTGAATTCTTGCTATCAAGTGTCGCCTTGTTTTCTTGTTAAATTATCCCATTATCCCTTTACTAACGATTACAGTAGTGTTCCCAATGGCATTTACCGGCTATAGAAATTGCATTAAATGTGATATCTAAATCATATTAGGATCACTGAAATTATTTGCCAAGTCCTGTATCACATCAATCAACAACATTGAACAAACAGTAGGATCTGACACTTGAAGTCAACTAGTTTCCCTTATCTCGCTACCATACATCCCTGTTGTATTATCAAGCTACCAAGACACTTGTACCTTCTTCCGCTATTGGCATGAAGTTCTGATTTGACTGATGCTGACTTTTGATATATGCAACACGTGTCTGACGATTAGCAGACGTGATAGACGTCGTCTTCGCACCTGACCGTGATCCTTTCCTCATTCGGCTTTGTTTGCCGAGATAGTTTTTAACCAAAATACTTTTTCTCATTCCACCTGACACTGTCTGGAGTATATCTAAGTATAATGCAATAATGCATGAGATCGAAACCTCATCAACGTCAACTTTTTTCTTGATTAACTCGCTTACCTTATTGCATTAATTAATATACTACAACACGATTATGGTATAATTTTACGATCAACATATCGAGGTCGATTAATTCGTTTTCCTGTATGTCAGGGTGTTTGACAAGGTCACCTAGGATAATCTCTTCAAAAAACAATGCCAAAACGATGGGCTAGGGTAGTTTGACACAGATTATTAGATTTAATCGCCAGGTATTACAATAGAAATGCCACTGCGAGGTAATTCGTCGAATGGAGAGAGGAAACAAGCATATGCTCGCATAGGTGTAGCCCAGGTAGACGTTACCTTTCCCACCCAGGAAGGAGGGCGACCGCTGTTAAGCGTAATTGTCGTTAACGGGAACGCGGGATATGATATCCTGTCGAGACAGTTTTGTTAGCGGACGTTGCTTACCGATGTGCACGTCTGGAACAATAGGTGGTAGATAACGATGAAAAGGCGAATTATGCGAGATGTACGAAGAAAAAGCTGTGTAGGTGATCGTTTATTACGTATGAATTTTAACCATGTTGCGCAACAGATGTGGAATTTCCAGATGTGAAAATGTTAAATTATACAACAACATTCAAATTATAGTAAATTTTGTACACGAATCTGTTTCGTATCCATATACACGTTATTCTTATGAACAAAGAAATTGTCTCTTTTCAATTTGTGGATAAAGTAATAAAACCCGAAAACGCCGAACTACTAAGCTTCTTTATTTACGTTGACAAGCGAGCGCATTTTTTGAATTTCGCGGTATATTGACGGATAATAAAAGCTATTTGCGTAGGCGCTGAGTCGAGCTGAAGGATGCGAACAAACAGTGCGTGAAAGGTTTTAATAGATCGTTCGCGACTTTTTTATGTTGTGCACATACGCATTTTTCAAATAATCTAAAAAATATACTTTCACGTCTAGTAAGACGTCATAAATCCTAAATTTCGCTGGAATGATGCTACATTTAATGCCGTGATCCACGTAAAATCCCCATGTAACATTAACACTTTTAACAACTTAGGTATAATATAGATCAGATTGTCGTATCGCCTTTTGGTTTTTAAAGGGGTGTGATAGCTAAGTCTTCAAAGAATGGTTTTATTAAGTATGTTAAGCTTCTTTTCGCATCAGCATTTTATTACGCAACAATGGATATCGGCTAATAATACGGGCGTTTATTGCTTGTGAATTAAAAACTCATTGTTTCGAATGCACATTTCTTTGTTCCTATTCAACATTACCAAAATTGAGAGGGCGATATTGATTGATGAATTTTTGTTAAAGGGACATTTACAAGGAAAGATACAAGGAAACGCTGTGACTAATTGGAGCAGTATAATACATCACTAATTTAGTACTGCCAATATATGAAGATAATAATAATCTTTTACTGCTTTACGCATGATATGGTTCTCATTGCAATGCATTGTGCCGTAAAACCAATCCTATACAGTAAATTTCTCCTCAGTTTGTAACCACAGAAATGTACCTGGAGCAGTAAATATCGTTGAAAATTGAATGACGCAGCTAGAGACGCTAAATGTCTGGACTAGCCTAGCGTACCCACGCTAATAAGAGAGAATTCAAAGTGGCGTCAATTATTATACCACGCAACGACGTGACCAAGGTTTCGCGTATTCGGCGCCACATTGCTAGAGCGTCGAGCGCAAATATCGAAATAGTAAAGTTTGTTTATTTGCTTTTCAGACCATTTCTCACTGAACTGCGGCGATTGAAAGACGGCGACGTTGGCGTGAATCTATCGATTCGAAACAACGTATTTAATTTGAAATATTTGTTAAACATGTTATATTTGCGTACTTGATGGGAGACGCACCGACGCGTTATTTGTATTCATAACTGTATCAACGGTTTAAACCGACAACAACGAATTCAATTTGTCACGAAAAACACACAATACCGTGTGATACAAAGCGACGTGGGGATAATTCATTGATACAAAGCGATCTAATTTAAAAAGAATCCGAACGAAACTCGAAGCCATTTCCTATAGCAGGAAGACTGTCATCATAAAACCGGCGAAGGGTCACATTTTCCCCGTATACTTTATAACCCGTTACTTGAAAACATGATAGTCGTCGTAAATTATAATTGAATATGAATTACAACAATAAATCACGAAAGAGTTAAACTAGTTGCCGCTGGAATTTGGAGGGAAATACTATGCCATCTGCTTGTGACAGTGAGGAGACGCTACTGCGCTCCTTGAATGAATTTGATGGGACGAGAAGATAATAAAAGAGACATAAAATTCACGGTCGAGTAAGAGCGAGAGAGTGAGCGCTCATTATCCAAACATCTGTGCTCTCCCAGTAAAGTGCGAGATTGGGCGGCGCGGGATTTTTAAAATCTGTTAGCGCCGTACAAACGAAAACTTTTATGTTGCGGGCGGCAAATTATCACCAAATTCCAATATATCAAACCCAAATTTAACAATTTTTTATAACTCCGTGAAGAATTCATCTTCCCTGAGGGCTATATGAACAACCAGTGACAAAAAGTAAGCCATACATATCCATATTATTCAAATAATAACACTTAAATTTGTGGACAACGTATGCAAACCTATTTTAGAAAACAGGCCATAGAAAGTTAAGTAGTAAAGAGGATTATATATTGGACTTGAAACAAATACAAACTAGCACAAATGAAACTTGCACTTGCTAATCTGAAAAGCTACTTAACTTACTAAATGTAGCCACCTGGCAACAGTTGCATTACAATCTGCACCCTTGAATACTATAATTAGTCTACAATACCTTCTACTCAATGTTTGTCACTGCTATTTGCCAATTTAGAATTGGCACGGATTAGTAAACAAGTTATGTTACTAATTACCCGAAAAAGTTCGATTTTGAAAAATTGAATAAACATGTCCATCCAACATTCTAATGAGACAAAAATTTTGATGACCATGCTACTGAATTTATAGCCATTTACTTATCCAAATGATACATTTTAGAGATTGAATTCATAAGAACTCACCGTCATCAGCTAATGCAAGCTGGTGTGGTGAGTTGTAGCTTGACGCAAGAGATGAAGGGGCTGGCGACACATGGCTAAGGTTATTGCAACCAAAAAATGATGACCCATTTGGGTGAGGAGAATCTAAACTCGAAACACTAGACAAAGACAAACGTTTTCTTGGAGTGGCAGATTGGTTGTGACTGTAAATACAAATTTCAGAATTTATAAAATAATGAAATAAAATATTATTGAATTTGTTTTATATATAACTATATAAACAGTTGACTCACCTTGTGTTGAGTTCTTTGAAATCATATGTCAAACTTGACATTGGTGACATGTCTGGGTTTGAAAAAGGCGATAATCCAGGTGAATATCCTCCATGATTTTTGCCATAGATTAATCTGAAATAGAAGACATATGGTATGATAATCTACAATCAATAATATTCCAGTATTCACTGTATGTCAAGTCAGTTATATCTGAATATACTATCGCATTATTTACAGATTTCTGGATTCACTCCATCAATGAAACACTTGTACTGACCTGTTTGGTATGACTGGTCTTCCAAAATTACTTGGATATGACATGCTTGGTTTTGGGATTGAAGCATTTTCGCCAAAATCCTGATTCTCCTCATTAGTTGTTGGCAAATTATACATATCCGTCTTCAAAGAACTTGAAAACGAGTTTATGTGAGTTGATCTTATAATCGAAGATGTTGACCTTTGTGAGGCAGCAGATGAGAATCCTGAATCCGTCATTTCAGCGATAGAAACAGATATATATTATTACTTATAAGCCCTCAAGATTGGGCCAATTAGATCCTCAGAGGGCTGTTTGGTAATTCCAAATAAATATACAAATCTGAAGATAAAAATATAGTGAAATTTTGGGACTCTATTGAAATATACCTGTATACTATTTGACTATTCCTGTATTCACAGATTTACATGAATTTAGCAGCTCAGTAAAGCCAGAATACAATACTGACATTCAGTTCATTTTAATAAAATATACATAACTACATAAGTAGGCCTGTATACAAAGATATTGCCTGACAAGCTCTTATAACAATAGCCTATAACCTGATAACTGCTAAGGTTAACTCAGAATTGAACAGCACCCCGAAATTAAATATTCCAATGATAATATAAGACATCTGACGCTGGTTAGTAAGCTATTGCTCATAATGAACTGACAGGCTGGTGAAGCATGCCATGTGTGAAAAGGGTTCGTTTCCCATCTGTCACTAAATAAAGGAACATGCCTTGACATGTCTCTTCTCTCAAAAACGATCATTGACCGCACAATAGTCGATTGAAACTGTAATTCCATACTGTCTACGAAGAGCAGTCAGGAATCAAATATGTATAAGCTGTAGGACAAATCTGAATCGCGAGGATGTCCACTCTTTTTTCTACCGCGAAGGTCTCTCATTCTCTCTCTCTTTTATTCTCTCATTTTTTCTCTCACTCTTTGGTCGCTCCTAATCCCCATTCGGATCCCCACAGAATCAAAGTTAATTCTTGTCAAGGATGCTTTGATACTTACCCATACCCATTCAGAAAATATTTTGTTATATCGCTTTCAATCCTAGTCTAAAACTATATATGCCCAGTAATTTCATCCGGGCAACTGGTAAAGTTTATCAAATGTTCACATCAGCGAATGCCTTTAGTGAAAACATTGTCACAATCAAAAAGTAAACCTGGCTTTGGTATTAACTCAATGCAATACGATCCCAAAAGGCAGAATGAAGTTCAAGCCCATTGTCTGGGTGATTTATACCCTCCGTTATCAGCTTGATAACGACTTAGATTATCGGTCTGTTTACTAATTAATATCTGCATTCCCGCATCGCCGTCCCGTTATCTCTCCGAACCGAATAACTTTCGAAATCTAGCCCTGAGGGGATCGTAACAGATTTGCAGCAAGTGCATCGCGACTTCACTACGATAACACATTTTGCTTTTGTTTACATGAATACTTGTTTCTAATACCAGACTCATATCATCTCTATCAACGATTTACGGGTTCACAGAAGTCTATCATTATTTTATTTTCATATATAAATATAATTAAGTACCTAACAGGTGCTCCAACCCACGACTACAAAATGGCCAGAACTCAATGCCACATTTTAAAAAATGCGAATTAATAGCCTACATTTGTGGCATTGTCTAGGCTTATTTTGGAATGTGTATCATGCAGTAAATCTAAATCGAGTCAAAAACTTTTAATATGACATACATGAAATTTCAAATCTGCTCGGCGCGATATTGTAAAATTGGCAAGCGGATAGATATTGCTAAGTTTGCCACACCTTCCTGTAACTGCAGGTGCAAGAATCTGTAAGGAAGTCGCAATTTTGTCCGCGCGAAATAAGCATCGTCCGTTGTGTACACATACAGGTGCAACGTGGGAAGACTCGATTCACACTTGGTTAGCTCAGGCTCTAAAGGCAAATCCGTTCCATGAAAAATCAGAATCTAATTTACGTTTATTGGGAGGAAAAATAGTATATAAACAAGTATGTATTTGTATACCTTTAAATAATTTCAAAAATCAAAATTAAATATTTGTAATTAATGGAGGAATAAATGAATATCAATTACTAGAAATAAAAAAAACTTCGCCAAAATAATAAACACGTAATATTTTCGAATCGAAGTTTGAGTTGGTGGATGGATAAAAATTCATAGTTACAAATTTTGTGATAGTTAATTTGTGTTATCTTTGTTGGGGTATCTTCAACTAAATTAGAAGTCCTATACTTCAAAAATAATTTTAAATCGTACATCAAGCATTCTGATTGTTTGAAATTCAGCTAGTATCTATTCACAATTTATTTTTAATTTAGATAAAAACTAATCAAATCATGATATGTGATATGAAAAGTTGATAACGCCATTCCATTTAATCAATGTGATTACAAATATATATATCGTAAGAAGTGATTAGATAGGTAAGTACCAAGTGATAAGTGCCAAGAACGTGTATATAATTTTATATGGCTATTGCTTTGTTTTTCACAATGTAATCCAAAATTGTGAAAATTTATTCATATTTTTTTTACAAGAAATCACTTTCGAGGTGACCAGCAACTATTCAGACTTATTTAGCACTAAAAAATGAAGTCTCCGAAGAAAAAGGCAACACGATTACGCCTTCTCATGAACTAACATATGCATCAATTTCGTAGTAAGGGATGTATTAGTGGATGTAGTAATTAACTGGATTAAATATTGGATCAATGTTGAATACATCAAATTAATTGAATGGAACATTTAGGCGGGGATTTTTAGCGCCTCGTTGTTTTGTGAATAATAGATCGAAATCAAACAAAGACGAACGAAAATGAACGTTCGAGGATAATGTTCAAGAAAATAAGCACATCGACAAAACCTTACCAAGGAGTCGATTTAGAATAATTCTACGTATTTGGTGAAATCCATAAACTGTTCAACTAGGCATGGCCTTTTCGGGTCAAATTAGCATTTCAGTTCTTGTAGATTCCCATCTAGATATTTGATGTTTGTGATAGACTATAATACCATAAACATGGGCACTGAGGGAAACGAGACGGAAATGCATGTCCGGCAAAACTTGTTTAATTTCTCAGCAGGACTTTTCATCCATTTAGTGATCGAGGTGAAATACATGTCGTGGTCTGATGAATTTAACGTTGCTGCATCTGCGTCACCTTGCAGACGTCTCAGTGATGTTTATTCGTCTGTAAACAATGATACTGCATCTAAGGAGACACGGCAGTTATGTTTTGCTATAGCAAGATTATGGAATTTTGAAAAAGTCCAGAATAACTTTATTGGTATTTTCATTTTTTTATAAAAAATATTCCATACCGTTTGTTTTGAAATTGATCACCATAATCTGAAATATAGTTTTGTGGAGCACAAATCTAAAACATGTTGGACTTCAAATACGTGATATCAGCACTTCGGACTCGAATCAATTCATCGAACCAATCATTAGAGCCTAAGCAAGGTTCGGATTAATTGAGCATTATAATTACCAGCTTGTACATATTTCATTGATTTGATCTAATAATTACACGTTGTTTTTTTATTAATCATCACTATATACACATAAATACTATAAAGCTAAAATTAAATCGAACGTTCAAGTCTGGCGCTTTGTGATCTATTAATTTGGAATTACATGATATATAAAAGATTGTGTATATAGAAGGTAAATCGCCCAATTGTTGAATTGAATTATTAACATATTTTGTGTTCGTTCGTTTTCATTGTATTAGCAATAAAAACCGTAAGCGAATTGAAGGTACTCCTGAAATATGCGCACCAAGTTGTCGCATAACCTGAACCCTAAACTAGTACACGATCTGAGTGCAGGGTGTGCGCCATCTTGGTGCGTATACTTCAGGAGGACCGAATTGAATATCGTTCTATGGCGTTATATTAATATTTTTGTGTTCGTTCGTTTTCATTGTATTACCAATAAATAATCGTAGGTGATATTGAATTTCGTTTCACGGCAGAGTTTTAGGTTGGCTTCTATTTGATGTTATTCAAGTTGCTCTACATTGACACCTAACGACTAATTTTCTATTATGTTCCAACATGGTTTACCAATCAAAACTCATATATTACAATCATTCTGTTTTAAATCAATGTTGTTGCGTATCAGGATGCTAAGTTATTTCAGTTTGTTCAAATCTTTTAAAGAATACCTATGTCACAATGTTTATATCCAAACTTCTTTGCTGCAGATCCAATGTCTAAGATGGTTTAATTGAATATTTGGTTGCAGTTTTAAATACAACATTAAGAAAGATAACTCAATAGCACCATATATATTACCATTGTCAAAATGTTGGTATAGTAGAGCGTATTTTGTGATTCCTGTAGCTGCGATTTCTTCACCTTAATCCGTAATAATAATAATATTCACGTTTGGCTTTACTTTCTCTGATCGTTGTTAAATGTTTTAATACCTTGAGCATATTGGCCTTTACGTCTTGTGCACCGTTTTATCGAACGCTGATGTCACAATGCGTTGACTTCGCCAAAACATGAAAAATTTAATTCAAGACGAATTTCAAGCAAACACGAAATCTTGTCCTGTTAATTCAACTCAATGAAATATTATACGCAATGATCTTAAATTTACAACTGCTTTGTTTTCTTTCTTAGGTTGAGAAGAATTTTCCATAAATTACGTTTACAAAATTCGACCCGAATTTTTTTTAATGACGATTGGATGGAAAGTTGCATCAAACCACAGCCTATTCATTATTCTGTAAATTAACTTCCTGATACAAATGAAAACTTATAACATCTCGTATTTACAAGATTTAGATCTGTGTTGTTGTGAGAGGTGTCAGAACAAGAGATATCATTATCCCTTCAATTCAATGATGATGATCAATCTCTAACTTTATATTTTTGAATCTCTTTGAATGACATGTTGAGGACTTATTATTTTTAGTTTTTCAATTAACACAAATATATAACGTTAATACAAACATCAACTATACTCAAATATCAACATATTCTCTTATTTCACAATGTAGGCTATGATGTATCCGCACTAAGGTAATTGTGCATTTCATGGTTAGAGTAGATGAGAGTGAAACGAAAAATATGCAACAAGTTTTATTGCCAATATCAAACGCCTAAATTAATATGGTTCCACCATAAGATATTAATACTTGGATCATAAAGTAATATCAATGTCATATTGCTTATGCCGTGTTGCGCATCCAGACCACGAAAGAAATATTTTAAAGGCATGCTGTGAAGATAAAAACATAATTTGCCAATTCAAAACATCGAAGAATATTTATGTTGAACGAATAGTTTGGTAATTGTTTATAAATCCAAATTCAACGTGGATATAT